TGTTGATGGGCAACTTCAAGGTATCTCCTGCTCTCCCATCTTATAGTTCACTATCTTTAAACCAGGCTTGGCCCAGGCAGCCCTTTAAACTAGGAGGACTTCAGAAAGAGGCTCGTCCTCTGTAAATAATGGCACATGGCAGCCCCAGCTTTTGATGTGTGACATGCTTCATGAATAACTTCATGGATATGTTGGCTCTCAGCAGGTTGAACAAGCATCTTGTTTACTTTCATTTGAACTGCATTTGGCCTATTTCAGAGGTATTAGGATGCTCTCCCCCCGTCCTGCCCACTCCGTTTCCATTGACTTACTTAAACCGGTGGCTAGAGAGGTTCCCCCTGCCCTGAGCTTCAATGCTGGATATGTGTATATCAGGATTAACTTTTCAACTCAGTAGTAAATTTTCATTTGTCATGGAAATTGTGAGTCATGAAAAAATAATCTAAACTTGGCTTGTTTGGACCCAGTAATAAAGCTTTTTACAAGACATGAAATAACCAGGCAGTGCAAATTCAGATCTCAACTGTTCTTGTTGGGGTTCTCAGACAGAAGCAAAATGATTCCAGATGCACTCAGGGTGCTTGTAGCTCTTGCCTTACTCTCTTTCATAAATACTGTTAAATTCTGATCAGTGTTCAAGATTGCATTTTGCCACCAGGGACCTAAGGTAATAGAGCAATATTTCTACAAGATTTGTTGCCAATGTCTTCCAAAGGCTAGACTTCAGCGCACAAAGCAAGCTTCTTTAATATTTTATTCCCCGGGGTTAGCTTTTTAATGTTCAGTGCTTCCAAAAGTAAACAGAGAAAATACCTGTTTAGTCTCAATACAGATCAAAAGATTATTTTGCAAAGATGGAATGACCTTGGTAATAGTGGTTACTGACAGAGTGAAGCAATGCATGAGATCTGCAGAATTCAGCACGATTCAGAAAACTAAAAGGGAAAAAAGGAAGATCACCTTCAAATTATTTCTTCGTGTAATGCACAATAAAAATAATAGAAATCGGTTTTTTAATTGAAGGAAGGGTTGTACAATCTTGCATTTTAAACTTAATTCAATCAAGTAATATTATGAATAGCATTTTTATTGCTGATTTTAATGCTGTATTTTATATTGCTGTAACCTGACCTGGGACCTACTAGTGATGGATGGAATATTGTTGTTTTCCTTCCTGTGATTTAAGTACCAACACATTGGCTTAGCATTAGAAATTGTTGGTATGATTAAGTATCAACATATCGGTACAGCATCTAAAGTCTCCATTCTAACGAATAGAAATGAAAAGCCATGAATATGGCCACACCTTTTTTTAAAAAAAAGCAATATGGTTATAGCTAGAAATAAAAGAAAACTACAATATCTGAAATAAAAATTTACAGTGGTACCTCAGTTTAAGTACTTAATTCATTCCGGAGGTCCGTACTTAACCTGAAACTGTTCTTAACCTGAAGCACCACTCTAGCTAATAGGGCCTCCTGCTGCCACTGCACCGCCGCTGCACGATTTCTGTTCTCATCCTGAAGCAAAGTTCTTAACCTGAAGCACTATTTCTGGGTTAGCGGAGTCTGTAACCTGAAGCGTATATAACCCAAGGTACCACTGTACATGTTATGTCTGCAGAAATCTTATGTAGTCAAGACTTACTTATCATAAAATTAGTTCAGCCTTTTTCTTCTGTACCACTTCACTTTAGCCTATGATTAAATTCAGCCTCTAATTCTGGAAAGAAGTGTGTTCATTTAGGCTCCCAGTCCCTACCCCTGGCTGCCATTATATACAATGTATATCCAAGTACAGCTGTTTATCTCAGACTTCTTCAAGTCATTGCATCAGTTTCGATAACAAACTGCTGAGTCTTCATGGCAGGAGCCGTATTTTTAACCTACAAGGACAGAACCACACATTCACTTCATATATCATGCCCTTCATTTGAAATCCCAAGGTACTAGTAAGCAAATGGTGTTTCCGTGCGCTCTGGCTTCCGTCACGGTGTTCCATTGCACCAGAAGCAGTTTAGTCATGCTGGCCACATGACCCGGAAAGCTGTCTGAGGACAAACGTTGGATCCCTCGGCCTGAAGTGAGACGAGCACCGCACCCCATAGTCACCTTTGACTGGAGTTAACTACCAGGGGCCTTTTACCTTTTTTTTACCTACTAGTACAGTATTTTTTAAAAAAATGCAATGCAAAATAAAACAGCAGCCAACTGGCCATGGCAGATGTTTCATTAATAAATGCAATGGGAGCCTGGGATGATTTGCTACTGTAGACAACATGCCCTGCTGCCCCACCCCTACATCTAGGCCCATACCCTCCAACATTTCTCTGATGGAAATAGGGGTGTCCCATTCCATAATGATAATTTTACTATTTATGCCCCACACATCTTACTGGGTTCCCCCAGACACTCTGGGCAGATTCCAACATATATAAAAACATGATAGAACATTAAACATTAAAAAACCTTCCCTATACAGGATTGCCTTCAGATGTCTCAGGGGCTGGATAAATCCATACCCTCCAACATTTCCCCAATGAAAATAGGGACGTCCTAAGGAAAAGCAAGACATTCCAAGATCAAATCAGAAACCAGGACGGCTTCCCTAAATCAGGGACGTCCCTGGAAAATAGGGACACTTGGAGGGTCTGCAGGCCTCCTCTCTGCCTCTCATTGTACCCTGACACCACAACTACACCCTTGCCCGCAGCAGCCCGCAGCACTAAGGGTGAGAATATGGCAGTCAATAAAGCCATTCAGAGCTTCCACCCTATTAGTAGTCGTACACTGTTAATGTGCTGGCACCTCAAGTCCCAACTACAGTGCTCCCAAATGAGTTCACTTCTCTTCCTCTCATTCTTTCACAGCTGTTGTTACTTATTCTTACCACCCCTGCACTGCTGCATATAATTTACATTCCTACGCATATCATTTATATTTCGCATCATTGATTCGATTCCAAAAATTTCTTTCCTATTTAGTCTAATAGATGTAAAACATGATTTAGACATTTGCTCATAAATGTGACTGAAACCAGCTGTGCCTCCACAAGTGATTGGATAAAGCACAATATTTAATATCTTTCTGCCTGCATTAATGGGAATTTCACACTTTATGTGTGGTAACAAACACATGCCTGCATCCTCATGTGCACATGGTGGGAAGCAGTGGCCTATCCAGCCATTCTGGTGTGTGTCTTAAACAGAAAAGGCTGAAGTTTTAACCCCACTTACCTGAAAGTAATATCCACTGAATTCAATAGGACTTTCTTTTGAGTAGGCAAGGTTAGCTTTGTGCTGAAAGTGAGAAAGATAAAATACGCTGCATATGTGAAACTCATCCCTAAGTAAACGCTGACACCATAAACAGCTTCCTCTCCCATGTGAGAGAAGTGTGTATGCATATGTATATATCTTCTCTCAGATGGAATAATTCCATGTGTGCCTAGGGGAAGCACATAGCGTGTGTCACCCAGAAACAAAGAAAGAACGCTTTCTGCTTCTAAAAACAACTTTTTGTTGCTTATTCATATGCAAATGGTACTGTTTATTCATATGAAAATCTTTGTTGTTTATTCATATGCAAATGTTTGCAGATTTCATTGACTGGACAATTAAAATTCATACCATTAATCAACTAAAATTTATTTGAGTGACACTGTAATAGAGAATGAGAGCGATATGCAGGGACTGAAAATATGGAAGAACATAAGAAGACTCCTGCTGGCCAATGGCCCATCTAGTTCAGCATCCTGTTCTCACAGTGGCCAACCTGATGCCTGTAGTAAGTATGCAAGCAGCACCTGATCATAACAGCGCTCTTCCCTCCTGCAGTTTCCAGCAGCTGGTATTCAGAGCCATAAGGCCCTCTGATCTTCAGGGCAGAGCATAGCCAACTAGTAGCCATTGAGAGCCTTATCTTCCATGAATTGGTCTAATCCTCTTTTAAAGCCATCCAAGTAGGTGGCCATCACTGGCTCCTGTGAGAGCAAGTTCCTGGGTTTTAACTATTCACTCTGTGAATAAGCACTTAACCTTGATCTGTCCTGAATCTTCCAGCATTCAGCTTCATTGTATGTCCATGAGTTCTAGTGTTATAAGAGAGGGAGAAAAACTTTTCTCTTTCCGCTTTTGCCATACCATACAGTGGTATCCGTTCCGGAGCCCCGTTCGCAACCTGAAAGGAACACAACCCGTGTCTGCACATGCGCGGCTCACAATTTGCTGCTTCTGCGCATGCCGTCATTTTGCGGGTCTGCGCATGCGCGAGCGACGAAACCCAGAAGTAACCATTTCCGGTACTTCCGGGTCACCACGGGACGCAACCTGAAGCAAATGTAACATGAAGTATGACTGTAGTTGTGTAGGCTTCTATGGTGTCACCTCTTACTTACCTTTTCTCTAAACAGAAAAGCCCCAAATCAGTGGTGTAGCATGGGGGGTTGTCACGGGGCGGTTGCGCCAGGCACAAAATTGTTAGGAGGCGTTGGTGTTTCCTCAGTACAGCTGCATGCTTCCCTTTCTGGGCTCTGTTGAAAACGGCTTCTCCATGCAAACCAGGAATTGACCTCTCCAGACAACGGAACAACTCTTCTTTCCTTATCTCTGCAGTTGCAGTCTTCTGAGTGATACCAACACCATTAGGCAGTTTAATGCACATGCATACTCCATCCATTTCCCTCCCTCCCCTCCACACAGCCCTGGGCTGTGCAACCCACACTACACCACTGCCCCAAATGCTCCAACTTTTCCTTGAAGGGGAACTGCTGCACCCCCTTTCATTCTGGTTGCCCTTTTCCAAATCTTTTCCACCTCTGCAACCTCTTCTTTGAGGCCAGGCAACCAGAACTGTAGACAGTGTTACAATTGTGGTTGCACCATAGAGTCCTATAATGGCATTATAAAACCAGCAGTTTTCTTTTTTGTTCCTTTACTAATGACCCCAGCATGGAATTTGCCTTTTCCACAGCTGCTGCACAATGGGTCCACATCTTCAGACACACTCAGATACGCAGCAGCAGCAGGGACACTTGGGTAAGGCTGCTTGTCTGTGAGGGTGTCTTTTGCTGGATCAGGATATTTAGCTTTCATAAAGCCAGAAATTCACATCTCATATTTCTCTCAGGAGCAGATCTAAAATTCTACCTATCAATCCACTCTGGTTCTTGATTTGTCTCAAAAGTAGCAACCTTGTTCCCATGTAAGCAGAGCTAAATTTCATTTTGAAATACAGGAGGTACACATTAGTTTCCCAAATCAGATGATGAGTTGTAATAAATATTTTAAATCTGAATTTCATTCCTACCAACAGCAGGCATTTCAAGATTATTTCTGTTTAACCTAACAAAGCCATGTCAGCAGAGATAAAAATTATGCCAGAAAAGATCCGTCAGTATAATCCTATAGAATGATAGAAGATGACTTTATTCTTGCCATATTTTTTACCTGGCTGCGCTAACTGCAATCTTTTTATTGTGGTTTAGAAGGCATATATAAAACATACATTTCTGAATGTGGCTCTGCTTTCAATTTATTTGATCTGTGGAATTAATCAGATTATGCTAATATTTAACAGAGGGGTTTTTTAAAAAAATAATCAGATTTTATTCCTCTTGGCTGTGCTCAAATGAATCACATCCCTTACATTATGTGACATTTTTCTTTTTCTTTCTCAAAGGCCCATGGGCATTATGTGAACATTGTTTAACTTGTATAACATCAAATGTGCATTTCTCTATCATCTTCCAAAGTGGTTTATTGAGGTGAAACTGAAGACCGCATGAAAAATAGAACAAAACAAAAACATTATTTGATATGATTAATGTCTGTTCAGGGAGAGGATCACGTCACCAGAATTCTTCAGGCCATCAATCTGAAAAACACACGAAATGTTTCTAAATGGCACAACCCTGTGATTCTAGTGCTTGTATTACCACAAAAGGCAGTATTTACCTTGTTTGTATGGAAACACTAACACAGCACCCACCTCTTTACAATTGAACCACAATGCCTATAGGAAGGAGGTTGGTTCCCCTCACATAATGATACTGAAGCATAGGAGTCTCATGAGATTAGAGATTTGGCCTGGAGGCTGTCTCATAAGACTTCAGACAAGGTGCATTGCAGACAACCCCCAAATGTCCTGTTTAACGAAGACATTCTGAAAAAAACAGTTTAGTTGTGAAGACAGTAAGAAAATCAAGCAACCCCAAAGTCAGGAATAGCCCCAGGCTGAGCTGTCCATGGCCTGCAAACAGTAACTCCACAGAGAAGTGATTCAGCTTTTATCCTGTTCCCTCCCACTGGAGTCAACGGGGGGATTACACCCCATCTTATTGTGGTCAAGTTTCCTACTAGGGTAGTAGGCATGTATGTCGAGCAAGGGATAATTAAGAATCAACATAGGTTTGTCCCTCTTCTGTGCCACTCACAGCACATCCACAATGTTTTCCACTCTGGTTATATTTCTAACATGTATTCATTTCATTCATTCATTTGCTATATTTCTAGGTCGCTTTCATCAGATTCATAAGGTGGCATACCGTATTCATATTTAAACAAAAAAAAACAATTATAAAATGAAAATCAAAACAACTGATGCAACCAAACAGTTATAACATTGCTTACCACAACTATTTCACTGCAGCAAATGGAACACTTCTAATTCATGTCAGTCTCTTCAAGCAATTCATCTCAATGTCCCAATGGCCTGGGTGAAAAGATAGGACAACAGAACCCTACTAGTGAAGATGTCATATGCAAGGGGAGGGAATTTCAGAAGTTTTCTTAGATGAATCTGCAAATCTAATGCTTTTATGGATTTTGATGTTAACAAAAAGAGTGTGTGTTTAATATTGTTGTGTATGTGTTTCATTTTACAGTTCCGTTTTTACAGCTCTCCTTTTCCACACTTGCTAATTTCCACACCTCATCTAAGAGCTCCCTTTTTAGGATAGATTTATGGAGAGACTTGTTAACATGGCAATAACCACATTTTTCACTCTGCTACTGCCTGTCAGCACCTACCTTATAGGGGCACTAGATGATTCAGACTCAGCTGATCTGGCACACAGAATGACTTCTCTACAGACAAAGGTGAGCTTCTGCCATTGCAATGAGAGAGGAAAAGTTTTGTTTGCAAGTGGGGAATAGGGCTATGTGTTCTCAGAGTCTAGATGCATCTGAACACCAGTTAGAACATATAAGTTTACCTCCTTCGCTTCCTATCTCCAATCAGCATGTAGGTAAGGGTGGAAGCATTTCTATAAGAAACCCAGAACTTGCTGATTTCCATACAGTTCTGGGTTCATTCTAGAAATAGCAGAGCAGGTGTGTGTCACATCCTGCCTCAAGTGGCCTCAAGTGCTCCAAAAGGGCAGCAATGTCACCACTGCTTTGGTGTGCTGGAGACTTTGAAGAACACCAGGTAATGCCCAGCACAATCTGAGAGGTGTCTCTGGGCCTTGCCAGGCTTTGCTTTGTCCTCAAAAACTCTGCTTACTACTGTGGCTGAAAATGTATTGCTTGAACTGTATCATATTTGGGTGGTATATTTTGCTCAATAGCCTACCATGTTTTCAGACCTGGGACTAAGGATGCTCAAATCTTTCAATTTAAGTTTTTCTTAGCTTCTCGTTTTTCCAGACGAGCTCTGCACATTAGTTTGCATATTTAAAAAAATTAACAAGTCTCCATGAAAATTCAGCCGCATTTTAGTGTGAATTTCTCCACCTATACATACCTTTCTATGCAATTTTGTCTAATACATACATTTTTGCAAAGCAATTTTGCCTTATATAATGCACACGTGCATGTTATTTTCACTAATATGTGTATTTGTATAGGCACTTTACCCCAGTGTGCATTACTTTCCTAAAGAACTGTGTTACAAAATTCAGAGAATTGCAAATTTCAAAGGATGACTGTGTTTCAGTACACATATTGTTCTGGAAAGTGTGAATTAGTTAGGTTCACCTTATGAACTGAACTGAATTTCTTCCCCATCAGTATCTGGGTCCCACTTTTAAACCAAACATGCGTTTTGGGAATCCATTTCTTAATTTTGTACCCTATTTTTGTATGGTGGCAGCACTATTGCTATAACCCCTCTTAGATCAGGCCACAACTCAGTAGTGAGACCCAACTCACTAGTCAAAGACCAAAGGCATAGCTGTCCCTTCCTGCCATCCCTTGTTCAGGAGAAGAAAACCTCCATCCCTTGCTCAAAGCATATTGTTTGTGCAAACTGAAGCAATGAATTGCCAACCTGCTAGCTCACTGGCCTGTTCTCCTGGTGATTCAGTTTGAATTGTCTGTCCTTTCTGTAAATCTTAATGCCTCATTAGATTGCATTAAAGATGACAGTGCCTATTGATGGTAGGTCTGAAAACCAGAGATTATGGTGTCATACAACACCAGGCAATATATGAGTCATTCAGCCCCTTTGAAAGTGTCTCACATCTGGCTGGCAGTGAATGGAGCCACTGTCAAACCATTTGCTGTTGTAGTACCTGGTTCCTTATGTTCCAATTACAAGTTTTGAATGAAGGAGTTAGGAGAGTCTGGGGAATTGTGGCCGTAGTTCACACAAGCTAGCTAAACAAAGGAAGCCCTGTTCCTCATTATGCTCCTGCACTTAATTAGGAAGTGAGTTTGTTGATCGCTAGCTGCATCAAGAACCACTCATTTATAGCAGAACAGTTTAGCGATTCTATGAAAGTTTATTTCAATGACATCTTACACTTTGGCCAGGAGGGAGAGGCCTTTGTTTCATCTGAAGTGAAATATGTTTCTTGTAGTCATTTGCCTTGACAGGAGGAGGAGGAGGAGGAACAGCCGTGTTTTCTTTCACTGGGAGGACACATAATGGAACAGGAGGGGAGAAATGGGAAACATGTCATTGCAGTAGGCAGTTAATTGTTTTAGGAATGGCACTTTGTAACATGGGTGCTTGAAGATGCCGCGTTGGTGCCGTTCCCATAACTTTTGGCTAAGAGATCAAGGTCAAATCACTTACAGGTCTGACAATTTATCACTCTCTGTTTGGAAAGTGCTGATTTTACTGGTTTATAAAACAATGTAATGCTTTCTCTCTGGACACGCTGAAGGCTATCTCATCTGGGAGGCTGATAATTCAATCAGCAAGCAAGAGAGGCAGAATGCAGTTGGCTTATACTGAAGATGCCTCGCTACAGAGGATGTAATTGTTGTGGCCATCCTCTCAACAGAAAATGCACGCACAGTCCTTTTCCATTACCTAAGGATGCCAGCCAATAACCCATTTAAGCAATGCTTCGTTCCCAGGTCTAGCAGAAATAAATGGCTAAGGAAATGCCTTGCTAAAAAGCTGATTACATTCCAGTACGCTGAGAATGAAAATCACCTGAAAAAAATGTTCATTCATGGCCCAAGAGTAACATTAATGTTCACCTATGTTTCTGCAGTTTGAATATATGAATAGAGAAGCTATTAAAGCAATACTAATATTCTCTTCTCTTTCTTGGCTGTTTCCCCCCTACTGTTTTAAGCCAACTCCATTATCTAGCTGTGTGCTGTTTCAACCTTAGGTCAAAGAGACCCAGAATGTCAAGGGTCCAATATAAGGCAGTGGAGTGCACAAGAAAGAACAAACCTTTTCATTAAAGAAAATTTTTCAGTTTTAGGGCAACACACACACACACACACACACACACACACTGAGGCAAAATGCCGAAAAGAATTAGAGCTCATCCACAATTCTTTGTGCTGGCCATGATTTTCTGTGTTTTATACTTCTTTTGTTCCCTAACCAGTTTTCTAATATGACAGCCTTCCACACACACTGCAAGTGCCGGTTTTGACCTATAAAACCTTATGCAGCTCAGGACCCCAGTACCTCAAGAATTGCCTCTTCCCACATAAACCAGCCTGGCCCCTGCATCAGGGGCATAGCATGGGTGGATCGGGGGGCTGTAGTCCTGTGTGCAGAGTTTAAGGGGGCTGAGTCAGGGGCCCCCACACAGGGATCCCCATACTGACCTGCCTGCTACCTGGTGTCTCTGGGCCTTGCCACTGTGCCCCCAGCCCCCTTGCTGAATGGCTGTCCGGCCAGTGATGGGGTATATGCCTGCCAAGGGCCCCGTCGCCTGGGTCAGTTCCCCGCTGCACCAGCAGGCATCACTAACCATTAAGCCTCACTAATCCTTAAGCTTGATAGTAACAGCAAAGCGTAAGAAAATTCAGCGGAAGACACAAGATTAGTGCAACATAATAGGAAGACCGGGGTGGGAGAGAAGACTTGAGTGTTCATTGGTAGCTCAATCAATTGTGTCTGGAAGAAAATATACCATAGACTCAAGCTGAGATTTAGCACATTGTTATTAATTATGGAGCAATCAGGTTTGGCAAGCACAAATGTATTCAATCACAGCATTTCTATATCAATTCCCCATAGCAAAGTGAGTGCATGTTTATCAAAAGAATGTTAAATGTTCTCCTATATGTGATATATTTTAGTGTATATGAGGTCAATATAACTTGATATTCAGTTGAACAGGGCAAGTTATGTAGGTCTGGGTGACCTAGCTCAGTGACAAAGCACACGCAGAAGGTCCCATGCTCAAACCTAGTATCTCAAGGAAGGACGGGGAAGGACCTCTGGAAAGCTGGTGCTGGTCCGTGTAGATGGGATGCGGAACCTGTCTCCATCCAGATGTTGTTGGACTCCAACTTCCATCATCTTTGACCATTAGCCATGCTAGCTAGGGCTGATGGGATGCAGAGTACCACAGCTACTGGAGGGCCAAGGTATCCTCATTACTGGTTTAGACAATTCCTAGCAAGTTAAGTAGACTAATGGTCTGGTACAGTGTAAGGCAGCTTCCTGGATGAAGTAAATGGCTTAAGACAGTCATGGGGAACCTGTGGTCCGCCTTATGCTGTTGGACAACAACTTCTATCAGCCTGAGCTAGCATGGCCAATGATTAGGGATGATGGGAGTTGGAGTCCAACAACATTTGGAGGGTACTATGTTGGCTAATCTTGCAGTATGAAAGTATTATAGTTCATATAAAGCCACACGTTTCCAATGCCTCACCAAAGAGTGCTTGCAGCATCTAATATTCAATGCAGTCTTTTAAAGCTCCTGGACAAAGCAAATTGCAGCATTAATACTACCACTTTCAAACTTCTCCCTTGTGCTTTCTTCACACCAAGAGACAGAGAAAACAAAATTCTCAGCAACACTCAAGAACAGACAGTGTGTAATCCTAAAGTGCTACTTCTATAATACTTAGCTTTTGGTGGGCTGGAGTTTTGCTTTTCCTTCAGGAAACCATTAATCAGATCCCCAAGTTCAGTAATTGGACCATGTCCAACAGGCGCTGAACTAGGCTTCCCCTCCTGTTGTCTCAGACATAATATGACCAAAAAGGGAGTAGACAGTGGGAAATCAAGATTTAAAGCACAGTGTGTTAAACAAACAAGGTGTTTCCAAGGCATTGGCAGCAGGGAGTATTTCGTTCTACTAAATTATTGCAGAATCACAATTTGGGCTAATAATACACCTGATCCCAACAATCAGTGGTAGCCTCGCCTCCGCCTGCATTCTACTTGCATTCTCAGTGCATTAAGTGCAGGTGCAGGCAGCTTGGGCGTAGGCTGCTCTGTACACTGCAGCCACTGCCAGCCCAAGCTAGGAAAAGAGGCGCACGGGCGCAGCAGTGGCCCTACATGCCAGCGCCCGCGTGCCTCTTTTTTTAAAAAAAATAATTTTTATTAACCGGCCAATCAAATCAAATTAAATCACATCACATAAATTCCGAATTACAAAGCCGAATTTTAAATTTTGTTGGGGGGACCCATATTTCAAGATCCGAAGGGGGATTCTGATCATCTTCTTGCTACTGCGTTAATGTCCAAATCAGTCCAAACAGAGTTCATAATTCTATCCAGTCTTATCTTGCTGTTTCCACATCACATCTTGTTCATATATTTTCTCTTTTTTCTTTATGATCTCTTTTGATAGTCTCCTTAAGCCGATAAACACCAATAATAATAATCCTGTGTGAATTTTTCCGTTCTTCCAATCCTCAAATTGAGATGGTTTCCATATATCATCGCCTTCATAGATAACATCGCTCTTTCCATCATTAATTACAGAACTGTCGTTCTTAAATCCCTCTGAGGAGTTTCACCCACAATATAAAAACAGCTCTATTTCTCTATTTCTCCTCCCAGACTCAAGACTTCCGACAGAACTTCCCAATATGGCGACAGCATTTTTAACTGTGTCATTCCAGAGCCCTTATACATTCCACGCTCTTCTTAAAACATGCTTTGGTTCGAAAGTTTATCTCCACACAGCCTTAAATCCACAGCTTAAGTCCTTAAAACGACATTTCTGACTTGTGGGGAGAGGGGATTCTTGTTTAATCACATAAGGAAAGAAAGGAAAGTTTTTTTCCCCTCCCCCATCAGTCATTTGCCATACCGAGTCTTGGCGTATCTTCTCATAATCTATGCTTGTTCCTCCGACTCGTCTTGTTTTATGAGAGATCTCTTCTGTTAGCAGTCTTTACTCCCCCTCCTTCCTTGAAATATGTGCATTCCTTCATCCAAATTGTTTCTTTTGAAGTTCTTGCAGCTAGTGGCGCGGATCAGGGACGACGTCCAGGAGTGCCAGAATCCCACAGGAGGGCTTTGTGCCTAGTGCCCCCATCCCCACAAATTCGGGGGTGGTATAGGGCACAGCAGGCAAGGGCAGTCCACCCCACCCTCCTGGGGGGGGGTAGGGAGGCTAATTACTCCCATCATAGCCTCCAAATTACCTCGTGTGGGTTGGAGAGATGTTATTGTCAGCCATCTTCCAATGCGCCCCCTAGTGCCCCCCCCGCGCCCGCGTGCCTCTTTTCCCTGGCTCAGGCTGTCCTCTTTTTTTGCTCTTCAAGATATGGCAACCCTAAATGAAAGCATAGATTACAGATGACCCTCCAACCTCTTTTTGAAGACCTCCAAGGAAGGAGAGTCCACAACCATTCCACTGTGTAGATCATGGCAGCTGGCCTGACTATGACTAGTGTCATCTCTGAACAGTGGCCATGCTTGGTTGGAGATGATAGGAGTTGGAGTTCAACAACTTCTGAAGAGTTCCCATCCCTACTATGTCCAACATGACAATATATAAATATTAAGCAATTTTAGAGCCCACTGACGTCAATTAAATTGTTGTGGTTAATATTTAAAAAACTGTGAGTAAAGGGATGCATGGTGCTAAATCATACATAGTTTGCTTCAAAACTGAAAGCAGAGTTACAGCACAAGCTATACATGTTTACTCAGAAGTTGCTGGAATAGGCAGCAGCCTTGAATTAACACTCACTGCATTGAGAAGAAAATGTCGCTAAGGGGTTAATGTATCTGGGAGAGGGGGCTGGGTGGCTTTTCTGGGTTGTGAGCTTAGTTTCAGTTTCCCCTTCCCTTGCTTGCTTCTGTTTGCAGCATGTAATGGATGATTATCTTAAGTAAAGGAACCCGTTTAAAACTTATAGCTATGCCTGTCTTGCTTGGAATAAGACAAAGAACCTACACTGCAACAGAAGTAAGCCCCACTGTGTGCTCAATGGGGCTTGCTCCCTAGAGTTTAGGCTTGTAGCCTTAACCTTCTGTTCCGGAGTAAAACTGGCTGCTAACCATACCAACCACTGTGACTAAATTGACTCCAAAAGCTGTGAATTCCATCAGAAAGATAAATTGAGGAAAGATCACCAGAGATGTTGTTTCGGGACTGGACATGCAAGCAGAACTGTTCCAAGTCTTTCCGCATAGCAGGAAGTTTCCATTCCAAAGCTGGGAATATAAGGAAATCATTCAGACTTGTGCAGAATTCCCTCTCTTTTGTGTCAGGCAGATAACAAAGATAACTCTTTTGGTGGAACCAAGGGCACTCAGTTGGGAAGAACTTTCATTCCACCACACAAAAAAATAAATTCATAAAAGTTCAGTTTATAAATGTTTGGACCCAAAGAACTATGAGTGGAAAGGGGAAATATATTAGTCCTGTACTAAACACTCAGACCCTTCAAGTGTCCCTATTTTCCAGGGACATCCCAGA